CAACTTTGTTGCTTTTAAAAATATGTTTTGGGGGCCAGCCGAGTGGTGCGATGGTTAAGAACTGGCTTGGGACGCCAGAGAGCCCCAGTTCGGATCCCACATATGAGGGCCAGTGACACTGCCCTCCACAGCTAAGATGCTGAACAACAGCTCAACCTGGAGCTGGGCTGCCGTGAATCGCCTGTGACTGCGTAGGCTGCAGCCCCTGTGGCAGTGGGTTGCCATGGGCTACCGTGTGTAGCCAGCAGCCAGCGTGAGCGGCCAGCAGCCGCAGTGAGCGGCCGTCCAGAGGCTGGCGACCGATCTGCCTCACCCGGGAAGAGCGCAATGATAATACCAACATGGGCCAGTGAAGCAGCATCCTCCACAACTAGACTGAAGAACAAAACCACAGCAACTTGTTTGTTCCCCTTCCCCCAATTCCCCAGCACTGTTCCCATCCCCCCAATTCCCAAATAAAAAAATTTAAAAATTTTTTAAAAATTTAAAAAATATATATTTTGGCTATTTAAGTCATTTTAAATAAGATTAGATGGGAAAATTTTCTTTCTTTTCTATTTCTGAGGGATTTCTTTTCTTCTTAATTTTAGTTATTTATTCCTTAAATGTTAAATAAAATATTCGCCAATGAAGCCACCATGACCTAGAATTTTTGTTTTTGTGTGTATGTGTAAATTTATGATATAATGGCTCTTTTTCCTCCCACTCGCTTTCTCTTCCTACGTTTCTTTTCTCATCCTCAGCTCATTAGTGAATAAAAGATGAAACAAAAAAAGTATTCATCACAGATAGGGAAGATATGATTATATGTCTTTTACTAATATCGTGCTTGGCTTTCATATATATAATTTTCATCCCAATCGTCATATCCCCCACTAGCTCTGAGAATGTCATACACTTTATTTACAATTTATTGTGCATATTCATACTCACTTTGTGATGTATCTTTTATTTGGTTGTCAAGCAACCTACATACACAGGATGGTTTTGTATTTCTAGGCACTATCCCATTTTCAATTTTGTCACTGATAAGAACATTATACTCAAATCTGTTAAGACAAAGTCACTCATCTGTTCTAATCTTTTACTGAGTTGCATTGTGCCTAAACTTTCTAATGTCTATTAGCACTTTGAGAAAATTTCATTATAGAATAATTTTGTAAGAGGAAGCAAAACTCAGTGAAAAGAACACAGAATAAAACAAATCTTGTTTGCATCCTAAACTGATACTTTCTACCTGTAGAAAAATAATAATTGTGATGATTAAGCATATAGATACTCAATCCGTGGTATAAGAATTATAGATTAAGTAAGTATATATATATATATAGATTAAGTAAATATATATATATAGATTATATATAAAATAAGGTACTTTATATAGTAAAAACTGAGACTTCTTGGGAAAAGTTAGAAGCAAACAGATTCTTAACTGCTCTTATATGTTTCTAACTGAGAAGAGATGTTAATATAAAATAATCTGTCATTTATTTGCAATTCAATTCAAAGAATTGTACCATATCTAGCTAAAGACATGAGAGACATAAAAGTTGTAAACATGGGCAGAGTATAAAATGTGGTTCTTGCCTTTAAGAAGCTTATGGAGTAGTTAGGTAGTCAAGCCATACATATCTGAAATAATCCCACAATATTAAAAGGTATGCTATAGCAATAGCTTCCATTTGTTGAGTACCAAGCATTGTTACATGTTTTATAAACATTATTTATCATCTTATTTATCATGTGAAGCTAATCCCACAAGGTAAGTGTTATTATGAGCTCTTTTTACAAATAGTATCTTATGGGAGTCATGTTTTATAGGAAAGCAGTGTGAAATGTTGATTTAGAGTGTTAAACCAATATAATCTATATAGATTTAGTCTGGGTACTTTAAAGGTCTCACCTTTAAGAACTGAGAGTCTCTTGGAATTTATGTCTGCCCTCTTCTTAGTCTAACATCCTTATATCCGTAATGCAAAACAGCAAGATATCAATGTGGCACCATTCATCAAGGAGCTATCATAGAAACAGATCAACAAAATAAGAGGATGTTGGAGTATCATTAAAGAGCAATACCTGAATCAGGTGGCCTTACCGAACAATTACAGTTAATGATGTGAGACTCAGATAGGGCAGAGCTGGTAAACACACCCCTGATGTGCCTGAAGAAAAGCTATTTGCTTAGGACCTGCCACTCTTTACAAAATGGAACACAGGTCCCTTTTTCCTGTGTGTGTCACCCTTCCATATCCATATCCATTACAAAGAAGAATAAAACATAAGCAGCCAAATGGGCTGTATGTCATGGCTACAAAACAACCTGTCATGACTAGTATATTCTTGCGCCATCCGTTGGGACTAGACTCCAGGTCTTTCTAAAAGCAGCACGTGGTGCTAGCCACCTAGCCCTTCTCCCCTGCATCATTAAAAGCTCCACAGGCTCTCCAGCTTGTCCATATCAGAAGGAAGCTGGATCTGCTCTAATGCAGGGACTCCAGGGTCACTTGCCAGTGACTGTAACTCAGAGGCCTCAAATGCCAATCACTCAGCAGAATTTGGAGCATCTAAGTGTCTTAAGAGAGAAAACTAATTTTGAAAAATTGCCCTACTAACTACCTTCCCATAAGATATAATCCTGAACTGAGGACATAATCAACTCTCAAAGCCTACAGTCAGAAAGGACCAATGAAGTGGGGTGAAATGAAACCAGGCAAGAAAGACATGATAAAAATAGTGACAGTCTTAAAGATTAAATGATGTACTCATTCATTTAAATGATGTACGCATCTATTTACTTGACCAATATTTATGGGAATCTCCATGCTAGGTCTCAGAGAGACAAATGAAAATGAAAGTTTCTCTCCTCACAGAATCTTATCAGTCTAGCTGTTTTTCACACATTGGAATGCATGAGAATCACTTGAGGTAATGGTTTAAATTGCAGATCTCTGGTCACATCCCCATAGATTCTTGTTTAGTTTAGCTGGGTGGGTTCTAAGAGTCTTCATTATTTCTTGTGGTGATTATGATGCCTGAGGTCTATGGGCCATAGGTAATACAAATCAGACACACAGCAGACAGAGGGCCCTAGTAAGTCTATTATGGATGGACTGAATGTATAAGACCATAATGCTTAGGAACAGTTCCTTTAGAGTCAGGCAACCTGAGTTCAGACTCTGATTCCATCACTATCTGTTTGACCTCAGTCTAATCAATTGACCTCTTTAAGACCCAGTTTCATCTGAAATATAATGGGGATAATATTTCTTATACTTTTGGATTATTTAGAGAATAAAATGAGATAATGTATGTCTACCACATTACTTGGCACATAGTAGGTGCTCAGTACATAGTTGTAATAGAAATCATTATTGCTGTTGGTGGTGTTATTATCACTACCATAGTGATTTACCAGAATTAAGCTATATTAATCAATATTAGTTATATATAAATGTATTAATATACAATTATATATTTACTACTACATTACTATTCACTTTATAGTATAGATTATTTATAGTACTACATATAGTCAACAGAGATTATGACTTTGACTTTGACAAATCTAAGAGAGGAATTCATAGAACTTTCTATAATAGAGTAGTGAAAGCATACATTTCCTACAGAATGAGATTTGTCATCTCTTATGAGTTAATTTGACATAAATATCCTAGTCACAATGTAGAATTGGAACAATTTGAGTAAGAAAAGAGGGAAAAAAAGAAGGAAGTGGTATCGAAAACAGAGAGGAGAGGGAAGTGACTTGTCTGCTTTATATAGCCCCACTATATATATTCGAGTATAGTGTGCCTAGCATGGACAAATGCATAATTCTGTATTAAGGGCATATGCTTTGAAGCTAAATTTACTTTGGCTTAAATTTTGTCTTCATCTTTTCCTAGAAGAAAACAGAACAGATTAGCGGAGCGAGTGCTTTATGACATAATTTGAAGATCTTCACTTTGTAAAGGTAATAGTAAATGAGTGGTCTCCTGCAAAATGCCCACTCCTGTTATTTTTGCAGTTGTTTGTTTGTTGTTTATGTTTAAACCTAGTTTCAAAGCCAAATGGGGAATATACATAATTTTTTAATCCCCATAATTTTCACAATTTTCATCATTTCTATTTGAAAAATAACTTCTTTTTTATGATAAAGTAATACCAGACATAGAAAATTTAGAAAGTATGGAAAATCTTCTAAAATGAAAAAATAATCACCCAAATATTCACCATTTAGATATAATCATAATTAAAATTTTGTGCTTAGCTTTTTTTTCTCTTTATATTTGAGCTTAAGCTATAGGGACAATTTACATTGTGGTTTTTTTCTTAATATTATACAATTGGAATTTCACGTCACACATAAACATTACTTGGTGTCTAAATAATTCCATTCTTTCTCACCTGTAATTTATTTTACCAGCCTTTTATTTTGGCAAATTTTACTATACTAAGATATGTGAAATAATTTTATATATACTTACATATATTATTTTTCTTTTGGGTAAGCTCCTGAAATTAGAATGACTGAGTGAAGTGTATGAATATTTTAAAATTTGTAACACATATTAATAAACTTCTTTCTATGAAGTCTGTGCCAATGCTCTTTCCCACCAACAGAAGGAAAATACTAATTTATCTGATAACTAACATTATTAAGTGTGTTTTCATTACTATATCGGCCGTATATTTCTTTTTCTGCAGATTACACATTCCTCTCTTTTGTTCAGTTATCTATTGGACACTTAATTGATGTTGGTGTCTTCCTTTCTTCTTTTCTTCCTTCTTTCCTTCTTCTTTCTTTTCTTACTAAAAGGTCACCATTTCAGATTTTTCATGAGTTTTGAATAATTAAGTACATTACTTGTTAAAGCACAAACTAGAAACATGTTTCTACCTCCTCCTACAGTAATATTATAGAAAGATTACACCAAAATTCACTTTTAGAATTCTCTTTGATGACAAATATATTAATATTTCCTTTCCCAGGCAGACCCCAAATGTGGCAGCTTTTAGCAGCAGCATGCTGGATGTTGCTTCTTGGACCTCTATATGGTTGTCACAAGAAAGGAAGGATCACAAATCCTGAAGCTAATATGAATATTGTAAGTCATTCATTAAGGAAAACAATTAAGATAAAGAATTATAAGTTTAACATCATTTAGATGTAATTGGTGTACCTGTCCAGTTTTCAACAATTCTAAATTGACTAAGTCTGTGTCTCCTACCGTGTTCCTTGTTATGGCTCACTAAGAGTTGAAACACCTGACCAAGATGGGGCATTACTATTCCCTCTCCTGGTAGTTTGAGCAGCCATCAGATGGTGGCTTTCTGAAGAGAAGGTTTCTGGGTCATTCTGCTGATCTCTATAGGGTATCCTTGAGGTCTTCCTGAGGCTGTTTCTAGGGCAGGTTCTGTGAATTGTGAGCTATATGAGGGTATTCTTTTAGTATGCCAGAATTGTTTTCTGTTACTTTTAGCCCAAAGTATCTTAACATGTAGGAATTCATACTAGAAGTGGATTGGAATAGAATAGAATGGAGTACAGTGGAATCGAAGAGTGCTAGGCAAAAAAAAAAAAAAAAAAAAAAAAAAAGACAAATGACAAATGTCTATTATAGGCTTCATTTCAATGGGCTACTCCTATTCCTGTATACATTGTACACCGCTGATGTCCTTTCCCACTCCCATTTGTATTAGCACTTTAATAATAGAACTGTCAAAGTTTTTCAATTAGTGCCTCTTCTTCTTTCTCTCTTTAAAGTATCCAGCAGATACCCCTAAACTTCTACCACACTGCTGAACTCACAGTCTGAATATATGTTCTCAAATCCAAGTTTTTCCTTTTCCATATTCACACACATTTCCTTAAGAACTTTCATGCTCTTAATTATTCTGCAATGATAATAAGAATAATAAACATTATAGAACACTTACTTTGTGCCATGCACTGTTCTAGATTCTTTATGTATAATCCTCATAACAAATCTGCGAAGAGATACTATTATTATCTTTATTTTACAGTTGAGAGAAATGAGGCACAAAAAGGTTAAGTAACTTTCCCAAAGTTAATAGCTAATAAGAGGAAGAGTTGGAATGTCATGCTGTTGTTTGTCTCTAGAGTGTGGGCTCATAACCACGGCTTGATATAGCCCCATGCCTCGCATGGGCAAATGCATAATATTGTGGCAAGTGCATATGCTTTGGAACTTAACTTACTTTGCCTTTAATTTTGTCTTTATCTCTTCCTAGTTGTACAATCCAAGACTATTAATCTTTCTGAAATTCAGTTTTCTCAACTACAAAAGGGTTATAATTCTATCTGAAAGGCCATTTGTAAAAATGAATAAAACAGGAGCTATAAACCATCTTCTATGCAGAAGGTGACCAATAAACAGTAGTTCTTCTCTTCTTTATATCCATAAACCTTGGTTGAGATGTCTTCTGTTTACCCTTCTAGATCCACTGTGTATTCTTTTACACCTTTATCTCTGTCCAAGAGACTGAGCTGTGAGCACTAGGTCAGCACACTCCCTCGATCTTTGGTTTTCAGTTCAGCTCAGCCAATGGAAGTATTGAGCCAGAGATAAGAAGAAGGGAGGAGAATGAAATCAGATGATGTATTGCACTGGCTCCCTCCATGAGGTCACCTTAGGCAGGCTGTCTCTCTCTGCTACAGGTTACAGCTTCTCTCAGTGAGACCTGTCTACTTGACTTTCTTGTTCTGGTAACAGCTTCCTCTCATCTCCCTTCAGGTAGAAGGTTGGTAACAGCTCACTTGTTACTAGCCGCAGAGTACTGCACAATTGCCCCTGGTTTCCCTCAGTCGATGGGCAGATAACTTTTTGTCTTAAGATTTTGAGAGGGACTAGGGTGCACTGATACCAGGCCAAGCAAACCAGGATGTATAGTCACCCAAGCTTGCCTTTGCACGCATTCTCCTTTGGAAACCCTCCTCAAGTTATCCTGTTTTTCCCCGCTATATTCGTCCCGATAGGTAGACGAACAGTAGTTTGCGACTTAAAGTACTATATTGCAATGCATGTATAAAAATCAAGAGTACATCATGAAGGTAGATATTTTCCTTGCCTCTTTTCAGAGCCAGACTATTTCCTACTGGGGTTATCCTTATGAAGAGTATGATGTTGTAACAAAAGATGAGTATGTCCTCGGAATTTACAGGATTCCTCATGGAAGAGGATGTCCGAGCAAAGGTAGGATGTATTTTGTTATGAAAGGAATAATGCCTAAAACAGAGATTCTAGGTGTGCTGACAGTAGCAAGGCAGCTTTTGTTCTGAAACAGAGCCCAGTACCTTCCATTAGAGGAGGTTATCACCTCTGCAGCTGCTGCTCGGCTGCATTTGTATTATAGCCCTTTGGGATTTTTATAGCACTTTCATGTACACTGTTTACTTAGTCCATTCTTTTCTCCTTCACTTGTCATTGGTTCTCTACCCAAGTCAGTGGAATTTTTTTTTTAAGTAAACCTGATCTTATTAGTTCTACATTTAAACTTAATTAAAGAGCTGTTCCTAGCTCCCTATGATGCAGGTTGATATCTGTAGAGAAAAGAGGGATCCACTTGGCAAGAACTCTTTACTCCCCTGATTTCATAGCTCCTTTTATTCTTTAGTGTGTTGTATAACAAACTTCCCAATATCAGAAGGTTTAATTATTTAAAGAGAAAACCTAGACTTTTGTAAAGAGAGGGGGATGAATTGGTGTTGACTTAATAGAACCTGTCCATCCCTGCAAATAATTCCATGACCTTTGTAAATACTAATGAGAATTTTGTTTCCACAAACTTTTATCTTACCATTTCTGCCAGGTAGCTGCCAAAATGCATGAGATGGAAAGCTGAGAAGCTGCCTGAGGGCTTAGATCAGAGGGGCTATGACTGCTGTTTGGCAGTACTTAACTTTAGCAGATTAGTAATACTCCTTCTTTCTGTTCTCTGAAAAGATAAGTGGACATAGACTTGAGTTTCTTGCTCCCAGAGGGCTGAAGGCTTTCTGAGAGTCTAGTCTAGACTGTCCAATCTTTGGAAGCTGGTCTAGCACCAAAAGTGACCCTAGGGAGAGTCCTGAGATACAAACACAGCATCACAAACCATAAAAGACAAAAAAAAGACTAGTCACTTCTCTCTCTTCTCTGTATTTTCAACACCATTTCCCCACTTCCTTCTTTTTCTTTTCTGTTTCCAAGTAAATTCTTCCAATTCTACATTATGAATAGGATTTTTATATCAAGCTAATAGTTTTACATTGCATAGCATTTTGTTTAAAGCCTTGAATTTTGCTTCCTGAAAATGCAACTTAAATTAAGCAGTGTGTGTAAAATCTGGCACAGTTCCCGGCATTCAACAAATGGTATTTTCATGGTTTTTGTTATTATTTTGAGAAAGAGTTAGTTTTGCTATCAGATACTTCTTGATAAATAAAATGTTATTAATATAAATAATAATAGGGCCAATATTTATTGTGCTAGAAAGTCTTTTATGTATTTTAATTCTAATTTAATTCTTATGACTACACTATGAGATAACATGTTATTATTACCCATTATGCAGACAAATTAACTGAGGGACAAAGGGGTTAATACATAGTAGATTGGATTTTGAACCAGGACAATCTGACTTCAGCACCTACAGAACAATAGAATACATTATATATAATCCAAATTTTATGAAGAGGGAAAATAAGACATAGAGAAGATAAATAATTTGCCCAAGTTAGTAGTTCAGAAAGGAGGAGATAGGTTTGCCTGGTACCAAATTTCATCTCTTAACCTCTCTTCTTTACTACAAGAATTCAGGAAAGAGAATTTTCTTGTTGACACTGAGTGAGGTGACATTAAATTCCTGTTGCCTGTGTTTTTCAGCTCCAAGGCCTGTTGTATACTTGCAGCATGGCTTAGTTGCATCTGCTAGTATCTGGATTTGCAACCCCCCCAACAGCAGCTTGGCCTTCCTTCTCGCAGATAATGGCTATGATGTGTGGATGGGGAATAGCCGGGGAAATACCTGGTCCAGAAAACACTTGAAATTTTCAACCAAATCACCAGAATTCTGGGCCTTCAGGTAAGGAGATATGTAGCAATGAATAAGGTGTGTACTTTGCTTATTTATCTTGATGAACACCCTTTGATGTTTCCCTTTCTATCCAAGTGCATCCAGTGGAATCTCCAAGAAGGAAACAAACATTTTCTCCTCAACCCAGGCTTTCTTCACAGAAATGCCCTTGTCGCATTGATATTTGTTTTAAAATCCCCACTTGCTGGTGGTGGTAGTGGTGGTGGTGGTGGTGGTGGTTGAGGTGTGTGTGTGTAAAGTATATGTGAAAAAAAAATCAAAATGCAAAGATCAACTTTAGAAAGGTTAATTCCAGGACTATCACTTTGTCCTTGTGGACCCCAAGGGAAGTTGACATGGGACTCTTATTAAAGAAAAATAATGAAACTGACTGAGACATGGGCCCAGAAACAAGGTTCTAGTTGAAAATCCTGAGAACCAGGCATTCATGAAAAGCCAAGAGTGAGCCTAGTCCTTGTGCATAGATAGATGACACACAAATGTTTACTCACAAAGTGGTGAGAGAACTCTGCCCTCCATAGGCTGGCAGTGCTAAAACCGGTCCCTGGAGTCAGGTCCTGGGCACATCTGGAAAAAGCCTAATTATAGAATGATTAAAGAGCAGGGTTTTCCAGCAGCAGTCCCTGGGATGCTGTTGACTCTAGAAGCCAGGCCTGCTTGGGCACAGCGGAAAACCCCTGCATTTGCATAGGAACTAAAAACCATATCTTGAATATCACTAGAGCCATTAGTTCCTTGACCTCATTCCTGCCTTATTCTGGAAGACATTTATTGGGCATATCCTAATTCCACACCCCCATGCAGTTGTATTATTGCACTATTGCAAATAACATGGTTCCCTAGGTGAGTATTTTCCCAAATACACACAGGAAAATGGAACACCTGAGGTGATGGATAAATATGCAGATTACCAGGTGTTTTTTCTGGAAATTCTGATTCAGTCTTTCTGGGATAATGTCTGCAAATCTGTTTGCTTTATTCTGTTTTTTTAAATAGCATTCCAGGTAATTGTTCCTTGAAGAAAATTTGGTAAATCTGTTATAGAATCAAGTGAAATATGACTCCCTTAGAGGAAAAGCCCTTGTAGGCCTTTGCAAGTCAGATCTTTCTGATTCCAGGATCTTTTTTTTTTTTTTTTCCCCCATGCTTCTCTGGCTCCTGTGACCCCTGTCCTCTTCTTGTGTTGAAACAAGCAGGGTGGTGGTTATCCAAAAGGTGGGTGATGGACTGGCCGAGTGGCTCAGTTGGTTAAGAGCTCACTCAACAGTTTGAGCTTTTTTTAATATCTGTCTCCCTTAGAAAATATAAGTAGTAACTACTCATTTTTGCAAAGTTATCAGGAACGAGGTGGTTTACATAATTTCAGCTTAATTTCTGAATAACAACTGAATTTTAAACTGTGAGTTATTTTATGTTAATATTTTAGCTGGAAATATTTCTGATATATATTAACACACTGACTGGACTTTTTTTTTTTTTAGTAGAATACAGTGAATACAGTTTTGTCTTTTTTTCGATGAAACAATCAGTTGTAAACATTAAAAATGAATTGAAAAATTCCTTCAGGAATTCCAGGTTCTTAACAATGTTACTCTTGCAATCAAGGTAACATCCTCAAAAGCTGCATAATAGCTCACATTGACTCTCGTCTTACATTTAAAAAACTAGGTACCTATATCTGCAATGAATGTGTTCAAATATTGCAGGCCTAACAATGAAACATATTTTTGAATTTTGTTGTTCTTTTTCTTTGGCAGTTTGGATGAAATGGCTAAATATGACCTTCCAGACACAATAGATTTCATTGTAGAGAAAACTGGACAGGAACGACTCTACTATGTGGGCCACTCTCAAGGAACCACCATCGGTGTGTTTGGGGCAAGTGTGATTTAAGAGTGTCAGAGGATCTTCTTCCATATTCATGAAAGGGGTCAGGATTTTTCTCCTCTGTCCAGCCTCTAGCTAGGAGATTTGAGGTGGGAAACCATTTCCTATGGCTGGTTTCTGAAGAGTAAATAAAATGAGGATGACAACAGAGATTTTTTTCTCCTAGGACTGAATTTGGTGACTGATAGATAAACCTGAAGGAGAGAGAATTATTCATTTGTTTGTGACAGATGTTCGTGACAACAAACATTTGTCAGACACTGAATTAGATGCTGGAAAAGCAGAGATGAGTATGGTGTTCACCTTTGCCTTAAAGAGCTTGCAGTCTCATGAGGACACCAAAAAGAAAGCAGAGAATTGCAAATCCCAGTGATAATGTGCCACAGCCAATGTGACTTTTAGTTCCCAGGATTCACTTGGGTAGCCTGGATGTGGATGGGACCATGTTGAGAGTGCCATGAGACACTTCACTCCCTTCACTGCTCCCCATTATCTAGAGACCTCAGCAATACCAACAGCATTTCCACCAGTCTTTTTTTCTGTATCTTAATCCTAATCAGGTTTCTGGGATAAAGTTGGTCTCTATATGCCTGTACTATACTATGCATCTTACATATATTCCCTCATTGGAAACTACAAACATTTGAGACGAGTATCATCCATGTTTTACAAATGGCTGGATTTAGAATTTCTTTCTAATGGTGGAAGTGTCAAATAACACCTTAAGTTTTATATATACATAATTTAAGCTTCAAAAGAATCATCATATGAGGATTCTATTTTCCACATTTACAGATTGAGAAAACTGAGACTTATACAGGGGAGGTAACTTGCCCAAGTCTTCATATAGCTAGTGAATGGGAAACCAGAATTATAGCCTAGTTTTGTCTAATACCAAAGACTATATGGTTAAGCTACAGTGGCCCTTGGAGTTTTCCTAGACATGCCTACAAAGGCTGTTTAAACTCCTCCTGCAGCACTCTCCAGGGACAGGAAACTCATTTTATTCTAAATTAGAGAATTCCACTCTTGAGAAATTTAAAAAGTCCTTTCCCTACAAATAGTACTTACTCTGAGTTGTTTTTTTATTTTTATTGTTTTTAATATAACTACTGTTTGCTGTTGTTTAAAATAAATAAAGAATTGTTCTAAATCTATAACCTCGTGTCACCTTCTCTTTCAGCTTTCATAGCATTCTCTACAAATCCAGAGCTGGCTAAAAAGATTAAAATATTTTTTGCATTGGCTCCAGTCACTACAGTAAAATATACCCGAAGTCCTATGAGAAAATTAACAACTCTTTCCAGAGCAGCAGTCAAGGTATGTGACTTTCCAAGTTTAAATCTGTAGTAACTAAAGCTAGCTCTGTTTCCACTGATTTCAATAGAAGAAAAATCGAGACAAATAACATTTTACAGACCTTTGAGACTATAGTAGGTGCTCGAGGTATCCATATAGACTTACTGATGATGTGCAATTTTACCAACAGCGTTCAGGGAACTCATGCTGATGCCACTAGCCCTGCCATCTTCATCAGTGTCTTCTCTCCCATGTATTCTCACCTCAGTTACAGATAAATCAAATGTTATTTTGATCCACTGATTTGTTTAATTTAGTAGGTTAAACTTCTCTCTAGCGGCCCCTAGTTTCTCAGGAGCAGTATTGAGTAGTAGTTGAGATCACGGCATGAAGCCAGATGGCATGGGGTTTCATCCTGGCCAGCCGGGTACATTTGGCCAAGACCTTAACTGTTCTGTGAACCATTTTCTTCATTTGTAAAGCGGGGATAATAATAGTCCCCACTGGCAGGGCTGCTGGGAGGATTAAGTGAGATCACAGTACATGTCAATCCCTAAGAGCCAGGTCTTGCACACTGGAAGCCTTTAACAAATTTCAGCTATTGTTAGCCTGTCATAGACCACACCTTCCCCCATCGCTGAAAGTCCAACCTTGCTCAATTGTTCTCACTTCACAGACTTCCAGTCTGTCAGCTCCTCAAAACTTAGGCAATATCTCTGATCCCAGATTTTTTCTGCTAGCTGACAACTAACTAAGCTGATCATTTACTCAGCTGAGGAAAATTGGTCTATGGGTTAGTGTGTTTTCCTGTTGCATGTTAAAATGGGAGAACCATGGCAAACAGAAGAAAATCATCGAGTTTAATTGAATTCAGTTATTTCAATTAAAGCAGATAAAAGTGAGACAATTTTTACAGAAGCCAGGGATTATTTTGGTTGATGAGGGATAATAAAATTAGCCTATGGTGAGTCAATTCTGTACCTATGTATAACCCAGAAATATAGTAGCAGGAAAGCTACCGAACAACATGAAAAACACATTTCCCTCTTAGATCTTGGGCCTCTTCTACCATAGAGATTTAGTCCAGCTTCGTCCCACAATACTGCGTGAACAACACTGGACTGCTGCTAAATTATATCAGCATTCCCACATAGTTATGAGATATTTTGAGATGGTGGGATCTTTCTATTCTTCTCAATTTGCACAGCTTTGCACAGCTCTGCTTCACCCTTCCACATCTTTTGACATGCATGTGGTGTAGTGCGATTCCATTCAGTTTTGTGAAAAGATATCTAGGAACTATTATATCAAAAGCATAGCATCAGGAAACAGCCATGTCTGTGAAGATACATTTCAGCTGATTGGGGTGACTGAAAATCAGGGTGCATGTGAGAGTGGTAGGAGACTCAACTAAGGGGTCAGTAGGGAAAGTTAATGGAAAACAGTTATGTCATGTTAAGGAGTTTAGATTTTGTTCTGTTGGTAATAGGAAGTCATTGAAGAATGTTCAGCAGAGAAATGGCTTGATCAGATTTGTATTTTTAGAAAGATTGCCCTAAAAAAGCTTTAACTCCAATAGAGGAGTCACCACATGACCCACGAACTCCTGATAGAAATTCCAGCATCAAAATAATAAAGACAAGAATTGGTAAGCAAACACAGAAGAAAGTGAAAATGTTTCTAGTTGTTGGGATCACAGAAGATTTCTTGGATAAGTGGCATTTGAGTTTTGGCTTAAGGGCCAGATTTCAGTATACAGGGTAGCGTAGAAAAGCCTTTCCAAACCAAAAGGGTAACAAGAGCCCATTGAAGTAGTGAAGCTCCAGCCATGGGAAACTGCATGTAACTGACTGTATTGGGATTTTCCATTTGTAAAGAAGAGGATGAGAAGTAATACTGGAAATGTAGGAGTAGATTCTGAAAGGGCTTGAATGCCAAGTTAATAAGTTTGGAATTTAGTCTACGGGTAATGGGTGACCATGGAAAGTATTTGCATATAGGGAATGGCATGCATAATCCTCTTTTTAACAAAGATTCTCCTGGTAATCAATTAGAAGTGGATGGGAATAAAGGACATCAAGAGGGGCAAAAGATAGTGAAAATGTTTATGGAATTATTGTTACACTTTAGTTGACAGATGTTGAGAATCTGAGCCAGAGTTGTGCAAAAAAGACAGAAATGTCTACAGGATTTGACAGTGAAATGATAGACAGCTCTATAGGTATGGTATAAACTTTAAAAGGGTGGGGTTTCTTTCTCTTCTCCTATTAGCCAAATGTGCTCAGGAACATTTAAAGAATGGCTCCCTCTTTCAGTGGAGAGCTCCTAGACTGAGACAACACTTTTACTATCTCTGACTAAAGAATTCTTTTTATTGATACTATCAGTTCTTTTCTATTACTCCTTCATTTCAATTCAGTTCAATTCACATAAGACACCAGCATAAGGATTTGAGTCAGATAGAACCAACTTCGCATTCTGCCTCTGCTTTCTGTCCATTGTGACGTTGAGCAAGTTATTTAATCATTTAACTAAGCCTAAGTTTTTACATTTATAAAATGAGTACAATTTAAAGTTCTGACATCAGCAAGACGGTGAACTTAGAGGTCCCAACACTCGTCTCCCCCTGCAGAAACAACAAGAACAGTAAATAAACAACTGCAAACTGATGGAAATAGGTCTGGAAAAGTTCTGGACTATAACAAAAAAGAAAAGGCGCACAAACCCTGCAGAGCTCAAAAACGAAGGTTTGCTACATGAAAAAGAATAGGAAGCATTTCACCTGTATCACCCCACCTCCAGTCTAGAACAACTTAGCATGAAGAGGGATCCCCTAGGAGGCATTTCATCCCATGGGTTAAAAAACAGCAGGAGAACCCCAGCAAGCCTCATCACTACCTTGGACATTTGCAGCCTTCGTTACCAATGATCTCCACAGTCTTTGCCAGTGCCGAACCCAGCTGATGAGCTGCTGAGTTCCTACTGCTGCATCTCCACTCCAGGGCTGGAGCTGTCACTGAGATGGGACCTTTTCTCAGAGGCCCCGGTTGCTGCTATGCCCCACTCTCTGGAATCAAGACAACGTAGTGCCTTGCCATCTATGGGACTGGAGCTGCCACTGCTCTGCCTCTAGCCCCTGGGTCCCAAGTCATGGTTTTGACCCACCGTTACTGGAGCCACACTATTGCTGTTTTGTGCTCTGCCCTTGGATCCTGAGTTGGGGCTTCATCCTAACATCATTAGAGTCAAGCTACTGTTGTTCCACATCTGCCCCCTGGGGCCAGGTTTGGGGCTTTGATCCACCATCCCCAGGGCATGCTACTGCTACACCATGTGTCCTGGGCCCAAGCTACCACTGCACCCCGTCATCTCTGAGCCCATGCTGCTGCTGAGTCCCCCAACCTTTCCCCCACCCCAGGGCCTGAGTCACGCCCTAGGGCTGCAAGCACCAGAGACCTGGTCCCCAATTCCATAGATCTGCACATGCCTGCACCTCAGACACTGGCACCACCACCACAGCAAGTGCACCTTTGCTATGGCAGTTCCGCATGTACCTGAACCCAGGACCCTGATTTTGCTGCCACACTGAGTGCCAGTGCATCAGACCTAGCACCAAGAAGGATACCCATAGCTATAGCTTCTTCCCACAGTCAAAAAAGAGTAGGAGGATATCAGCAGCTTTCACCACCTCACTAACTCTAGTCACCACTACCACTGGCAGGACCTCCACAATTTGGGCCACTGAAGATCCCTGTGGTTTTCACCAATGTTGACCTTAGCTGACAAAGCTTAAAAAAGAATTAATACCAATACTTCTCAAATCCTTTCAACAAATTGAAGAGGAAGGAATGCATCCAAATTCATTTTACAAGGCCAGTATTATCCTGATACCAAAGTCAGACAAGGATACTACAAGAAAATTACAAGCCAATATCTCTGACAAACATAGATGCAAAAATCCTCAAGAATATATTAGCAAATTGAATTCAACAGTATGTTAAGAGAATTATACACCACAATCAAGTGGGATTAATCCCTGGGATGCAAGTGTATTTCAACATACACAAATCAATAAAATGTGATACACCACATTAATAGAATGAAGGATAAAATTCCTGTAATCATCTTAATTGATGTGGAAAGGGCACTTGACAAAAGTTAAACTTCCTTTCATGATAAAAACTCTCAAAAGATTTTGTATAGAAGGAATATACCTCAACATAATAAAGGTCATATATGAAAAGCCCACAGCTAACATCATATTCAACAGTGAAAAGTTAAAAACCCTTTGTCTATGATCAAAAGCAAGGCAAGGATGTCCACTCACCACTTCTATTCAATATAGTCCTGGAAATCCTAGCCAGAGTAATTAGGCAAGAAAAATAAATAAAAGACATCCAAATCAGAAGGAAGTAAAATTATCTGTTTGCAGCTGACATTATCTTATGTATTAAAAAAAATCCTAAAGAGTCCATCAACACAATTTAGAACTAGTAAATGAATTTAGTAAAGTTGTACAATATAAGATCAACATAGAAAAATCAGCTGCATTTCTATACCCTAACAACGAACTATCTGAAAGAGAAACTGAAAAAGCAATCTCATTTATGCACACAGCAGCATTAAAAAGCAATAAAATATTTAGGAGTAAATTCAATGAATGAGGTGAAAGACCTGTACACTGGAAAGTATAAGATGAGAGAAATTTAAGAAGATACAAGTAAATGGAAAGATATCCTGTGTTCATGGATTGGAAGAATTAATATTTTTTGTTTAAATATTCATACTACCCAAAGCTACCTATAACATCAATGCAATCCCTATCAATGGTTTTTCACAGAAATAGAAAAAAACCTATCCTAAAATTTGTATGGGACAACAAAGGCCCCAAATAGCCAAACCAATCTTGAGAAAAAAGAACAAAGGTGGAGGCATTACACTTATGATTTCAAACTGTATTACAAAGATAATAGTAATCAAAACAGTATGGTACTGGCATAAAAACAGGCATATAGACCAGTGGAACAGAAAAGAAAGCCCAGAATTAAACAAACACTATGGTCAACTAATGTTTGACAAGAGCACTATGAACACAATGGGAAGATGATAATCTCTTCAATAAATGTTATTGAGATAACTGGCTAGCTACATGCAAGAGAATGAAACTGGATCCCTATGTTATACCACACATAAAAATTAACTTAAAATAGATGAAAGATCTAAATGTAAGATCTGAAACCATAAAAATCCTAGAAGAAAACATAGGGGAAAAGCTCCTTGACATTAATCTTGCCAATCATTTTTTTGATAAAACACCCAAAGTACAGGTAATAAAAGCAAAAATAAATGAGTGGGACCAACTGAAAAGCTTCTGCATAGCAAATGAAGCAATCAATATATTGAAAATGTAACCTACAGAATGGGAGAAAATATTTACAAACTATCTGATAAGGGTTTACTATCCAAAATATACAAAGAACTTATATAACTTAATATAGCAAAAAAAGCAAGTAATTTAACTAAAAAGTGGACAAAGGGCCACAAATTTTTCCAAAGAAGACACACAAATGGCCAGCAGATTCATGAAAAAATGCTCAACATCATTTATCAGGAGACTGCAAATTAAAACCACAATGAGATTTCACCACATACCTGGCTAAGAAAGGCTGTTATCAGACGACAAGAAGTAATAAATGTGGGTGAGAATGTGGAGGAAAAGAAACCCTATATATTATTAGTGGAAGTGTAAATAAGTAAGGCCCTAAAAGCCAATGTTGTAGAAACAAAGAATATAATGGTCGTTGCTGGGGGCTGGAAGAGGGGGAAATAGGAAGATGTAGGTCAAAGAGTTCAAACTTTCATTCATAGGATTTTTAATGTCCTATGGTGTCAATTATTCCTTAATAAAGTTGTAAATGCATAAGTTAAAAATCACATAAAATTTGTCAAGTTGTTTGGGATACCCATTGAGATAATATGTATTTAAACATCATGCCTGGCCTAGAGCAGGTGATCAATAAATGTTATCTAGTATTATTAATGAATTTATTTTAGGTTCAAAGTCACAGTGCTTCATTTTTCAGATCTCCTGTTTACCAATTGTTCATCCTCTCCTCCCCTCCCACCTTTTGTTCTGCCCCTGGACAGTAACGCCTTCCTGTTCTTATCTTTTTTTCTGATCTATAGCTTGTGATGACCCTTAGCTTTTTACACATTATCTACAGTAGTGATTGTTAGTATTTCTCCATTTCTTAAAAGAAGAACTTAGTCTCAGAGAAGCCAAGCCTTCTGTCCCAAATCACCTACCTAGTGAATTGCAGAGTTAGAATTTGAACACAGATCTTACCAGGCTATCCGTCGTCAGTGCATTTTTTTATACATTGTCATTTCCCTACCTTCTCAATGCCAACCTGAAGAAGTAAATCCTAGATTCTTATGCAGCTTAGCCGGCCTTTGAGGGCTAAATCCAGTCCATGTTGTGCTTGGCAAGCAACATGCCCTCTTCTGGGGCCTTTTCTAATTCTCACTCACAAAACTACCAAAAGAGCTACCAGAAGAAGCTTGTCTTCATGCTGTTATATGACAAACATGCCCCCTCCAGAACTAACATGGAATTGCATCAACAAGTCACTATGTTTGCTTCTCTTCAAGTGGGTACTATATGGCTGATTAGCCTGCGTTATTATTATTATTATCTTCTCTTAGGTTAGGGTAAAGGAGCATTTATCCTTGGGTAAATGTGTAGTAGTTTTGCTGAGTTGCTCATGCATGGCTACAGAGGTAAAGTCAGAGACTGTCATGCTAATTCTCCCTATATTTAAGAAAGCCAACTGACAGAACCAAGGACAAGGACCCCCTGTGCTATAACCTCTTCCTTCACATCATATTTTCATGTTTGGTTACTTCTGTGAACTGGCTGTTTCCTTTCACATGGATTTTCTGCCAACTGTGGATGACAAAGATATTGGAAAATGAAGATAAAAGTGTTCACTAAAATCATTTCGTGCCTTCTATTTTAATTACCTATTCATGTGGTGATCTATTTAAGTTATCACACTTGAGGACATAGAGTAGATGTCACCATTCTTTTAAAAGGTAACTTCACTCTGTATGTCTGCTGCTACTGTTATTAAATTATCATGTAGATAGTTACACAGGAAGAATTACAATTTGGTAAGTGCATTCATGAAATTATCTGACATGTTGTCCAGGGAACCCAGTGATTGTGACAAAAATGAATAAGAGGCCAAAAGCCATTAGATAATGTCTGCAATGGTTAATAATTGCTTTCCAGACCTAAAGATGTATGAGTTCAACATATTGTAGCCTCTCTCTCCCTCCCTCCTTTCCCTCCTTCCTTCCTCTCTCTCTTTGACATGAAAGGTTATATGAAGTCTGGCATATCATACATTTCATTAATATTTCATGGAACATCAAATATTCCATTAAATGAAGATTACATTTGATTATATAAGATAAATATTTTTCAAACTCAGAATTCAACAAATTATACCCAGTAGGAATATACTTGATCTAGTTTACCAAAAAGTGTAAAATATTGTAGTGCATTAGTGCAATAAAAATGAGTGCTAGCTATCATTGTTCATTAGTTGTAATTGCCAATTCATAAAAAATTCCAGGATAAAGATGTGCCAGTTTTCTACTATAAATGAGTATTTCCAAAATTTTTAAGAATTAAAAAATACCTTTTCATCTTTATATCTAGTTTATTATGGTAAGATTATAAAGCTAGTTATTTTGAAACAAAGGCAAGATTGGACTTATATACACAGAGAGTTTCATTTCTTTGGTTTAAGCTTTTGCCTCTAGAAAGAGTTTATTAAAAATTTTTGGAAAGAATGGTTAACTTTGTGTCATTCACTAAAAATATAATAGTTATTGTTTTTGGAATGTTTACTATGTTCTAGAAAATGCACTAAGTGCCTTTAAGCATAGCCTATTATCTTCACAACAGTCCTACTTAGTGCATATGAGTTTTCCATTTTGTAGTTGAGAAATGCAGAATAATAGTAATTAAATACTTTCCTAAGGCATAAGAGAAAGAGTCCAGAATTAAACCAAGTTATCCCTGACTCCAAAGCCGTCACAGTATTCTATGGGGACTAGTTTCTCGGGGGCACTACAAAAATGTACCGAGTAAAAGACCTTGGGAAAAGAGATCAAGAGGTGAGTTGGGATGACACAGTGAGGTGGGAGAACTACAAAGACAAAATTTTACAGACCTCTCGGTTTCACTGAGGACTAAGTACTATGCATGTTTCACCTTTTGTCTCGTCCTTGTCTGAACTACCACTTATTCTCCACCCTTGACATGTACATCCCTGAAATTTGATGGTGTCTTAAATTGATCTTGCAGGTGTTTTTTGGTGACAAGATGTTCTCTCCACATACATTTTTTGAACAATTCATTGCCACCAAGGTGTGCAGCCGGAAGCTATTTCATCATCTTTGCAGCAACTTCCTATTTTCTTTTTGTGGATATGATCCAAAAAACTTAAACATGGTACGTGTAAGTAGTCAGATCTGGGGAAGCAATTGTTTTGTTGCACGAAGTTGAGGAGAGTTCATACTGAATTGCATGGAAGCCCCATTTCAAGGTCTTCCTTTTTGTCTCCTGGGATGCATTCTAGCCTGTTCATGGCTTACAACCAAAGCTGAGAGTCTACCTGCTTTAGTAAGAAGATTTGAGAAGGTTTTGTTGTGAAAATTTTCACCAATGTTTGCTGTTGTCCAAAGTGCCAGCATTGCAAATTCCTTCACTTTGATTAAGTTATAGTTGTGAAATTTATCTTGCTGTGCCTGAGCCCTATCTCAGAACCTACTGCAGGAGAATTTCAGGGAGTGAGCACAGGCATCTTTTTTTAAATCCATTTTCTACTTTCATAGGTGATGTGGAAATAGCCATTTTGTGAGCCACTTCTTTATTCCAAAGAATATAGGGGTGGCTCTTCAATGACAGCTACAGATTCATTGTTGAAGGAATACTGAGAGGAATGTGTTGGGGTTTTTGTCGAGTCCTTTCCAACCTAACTGAGATCCTTTCCTTTCTTTCTTTTTTTTTTTTTAAAGATTTTTTTTATTGGAGAATTGGGGGATGGGAACAGCACTGGGGAATTGGGGGAAGTGGAACAGACAAGTTGCTGTTCTTTTGTTCTTCAGTCTAGTTGTGGAGGACGTTGCTTCACTGGCCCAAGTTGACACCATCATTGCGCTCTTCCTGGGCGAGGCAGATCCGTTGCCGGCTTCTGGACGGCTACTCACGGTGGCTGCTGGCTGCTCTCGCTGGCTGCTGGTTACACACTGTAGCCCATGGCAACCCACTGCAGCAGGGGCTGCAGCCTATGCCGTCCCCGCCGGGGACTCATGCATGGCAGCCCAGCTCCAGGTTGAGCTGTTGTTCAGCATCTTAATTGTAGAGGGCGGTGTCACTGGCCCTCATATGTGGGATCCGAACCGGGGCCCTCTGGCATCCCAAGCCAGCTCTTAACCAACGCGCCACTCGGCAGGCCCAATCCTTTCCTTTCTTAATTACCACTAGCTGCCCCACAAAGTGGGAAGGAAAAAGAGGGGAAGTTATACTGTTTCTTCCCCAGCTAGAGAGGAGAAATGTCTGAAACCAGAGGTGGGACAAAGCTGAAGTTGGTCACCATCTACCTCACAGATTCTGCCCAGAGCCTTGTCACCCTCTGTCATTGGAAGCACTGATTACCACTTGCCTTGCTTTTAGTCAAGATTTATAAAAGGCTGTTTATGCAAAGCATGCCTTTGCCATTTCCCCTTCACATTTTTTCTCACTTTCTCAATTTACTAGGGAAGCTATGCTTGCCTATCACTTAAAATTAAGCATTTCATGTAGTCAGAACTAAGTAAAAAGACCTTTAAGCAAAGTCAATAGAGATAGTTTCAAAAGCACCCTCTCAATATGGCCTAAGAGTTTGCTAAAGAAAGACTTCACAAAATGAGACACTTGAACATTTATTGAGGGCCCTCACTGTACATTTATATAGCCTGTTGCCCTTTCTCACTGTTGGGAACTGGACTATGGAATACTATTACAGTACTTGTAAGAACATTTATTTTAATGGAGTATAACCAGGGATGCATAAGTTTAAAAAAAACAAAAAACGCATGTCCAGAACTCAACCCCAGAGATTTCGATATTGACTTATAGGCTTGGGTAGCTCATAAGTAGTTGTATTTTTTTTAAAACCCTAAGATGGTTCTGATGCTCACTTTGGTGGAAAAGTAACTCTTTTTTATACTGAAAAACACAATGCAATTGAAAATCTGAAAAAGCCAAGTTTGTTTTTTTTCCCCAGAATAAATCTAAATGTTAATGGAGGTTACAATGATGGATTATGTATGTCCCACAAACTTTCAAAGAGCCTTGTAGAATAGTTACCACATTTTAAAAATCAGAAAGCAAAAGGGAACATTCAGGTCTGTTTTCAATATCTTACAATGAACAACTTTCTCTGAATGTTCTTTGGGGCTTAACACAAGGTGAAGAAGGTCAGTGGGGCTTTTATCCCTTGTCCTCTTCTCCTCTTGAAACTTTCTGAGGTGAGACTGGAAAGAAAGGTACACTATCTTCAGTCTTTGATCAGCGGGATATCCTCTGTGGGCTTTATGAAGACACTGCGCAGGACAGAAGAACAGAGAGCTAAGGGAGGGGAAAATTCATAACGGGCTTCTTTGGTTAATATATCTTCAGAGGATATAGTATATGTTTATTCCTAAGAGAGTAAAGAAAAAAATTCAAATTTATTTGTGGTGTGATTATATATTTAGTCTCCAGCTGAGAAATAATCTCTTTACTCTGCAGAGTCGCTTGGATGTTTATTTGGCACAGAGTCCAGCAGGAACATCTGTTCAGAATATGCTGCATTGGGCCCAGGTAGGTGCTTCCTGTTCCTCATATGACACACACATATCTGTGCAAGATCCCCGAGAAGCAATCCCAGAGAGCTTGCTTCAGAGTTTTACTGTCCAGTTGATGTTTCTAGAATCAGCATCATCTCATGTTAGTTTCCTTTACTCCCTTCTAGTCTTCATGTCCTCAGTCTGGTGTTTGCGTCTGGTTCCCAAATGTGCTGACTGAATTCTGATCCTTAGATTGCTCCAAACTGCCTTTTCTAGGGAAAGCTTGTATTTCTTCTGTTGGGAAATCATCACCTCTAGTACAACTTTATATAACATGATATAGGCTATTCCAGAAAGATCTGCTCATCCTCCAATTGTCAATATGGGCCATTTCAGAGGGTGGAAATGATGCTTTGTTCAGAGCAAATTAAATATTAGGGAGAGATTAAAATAGATGGATGGTTTCTGTATTTTACCCTCAGTTTAAGTGTTGTTTTTTATTTTTGTTTTTGTTTTGGTGTTAATATATTACTCAATATTTGACAAGCTCAGACCTAAGTAAAATTCAATTGATATAGTTTTCTGAGTCACGTGTATCTGTGTGTGTGTGTGTGTGTGTGTGGAGAGAGAGAGAGAGAGAGAGAGAGAGAGAGAGAGAGAGAGAGAGAGAGAGGTCTTGCCAACGTTTTAATATATCTGAGATCCCTAGGAATTTACATTTTCACCTACATCCTGATAAATTTGTTCCTTGCTTTAAAGTTGAGAATCACTGCTATAGATAGCCTGAAACAATAGTTGAGGGTTTTTGAAATTCTTTAAGAGTTCCACTCCCAGGAGATAAGCCTTCAAGTTTCTATAGAAAAATATATATATATTTAGAGCCTCCTACTGGTGAGGAGACAGACTCTCTGATGGCCATGGCCTTCCAGACAATACAACCTCAATTGCATATTTGAGCACTTCCTATGTGTTCTTCCATTCATATAAATGATTCACTCAGTCTCATTGAATTTATTCTCATAACAATATTTCAATGAAGACATTGGCACCCCCAGTCTATAAATGTCACAGCCAATGCCTTACACATCTCACATCTGACTCCTTTTATTTTTAATATTAAAAAATATTAAAGCAATTAGTACTTTTATTAATAATTTTATATAACTGATTCCTCTTAAAGAGCACTGGTCTTTGACAGAAAATCCTCTTCAGGATAGAAATTGGGTGGGGAAAAAATATCTGGTCATAAGTTACATAGACAGCTAAAACAAGCGTGGTGGTGGTATAGATGATGATGATATGATGATGGTAGTGATATTAGTAAAAAGAGAGATTTGTTGAGCATTCTTAGGTGCTATTCACTTTATATGCATTGGCCTATTTAATCTTCATAATACTATGAGAAGAATGTTATTGTTGTTCCTATTTCACAGATGAAAAAAACAGGTTTAGAGAAGATAAATCTCTTGTCCTAGATCACAGATTCAATATTTTGTTAAGCCTGGATTCAAACCAGGTCTCTTTGATGCTGGGATTCAAGCTCCTAACTAGTGCACTTTATTGCTTCCCATTGCCAAAAACTTGCAGAATTTCAATAAGAGAAGACTACTGCCTCTGTCGGTATAAATTGGATGGAAATAATTGAAAACTAAAAATCAGGATTAAATGAATGAGTGTGAAAAAAAATACTTGAGATTCAAGTTAAGGAAAAAACCCAAAACCCTTAGAGTAGTTGGAGAATAATTTAATGAAGTGCTTGAGGTAAAGGTAAAAATTATGTCTCTTCAATACACATGGGTGGCAAGTAACAGAAAAAGGAACCCCAGGTGTGTGAATGTTTTCTATTATCTGAAGTCTAAAAATTAAAATGAAGAAATGGGCATGCACTGCATCTCAGACACATATCCCGTGGCCATGTTACTGACAACATGGCAGGGTGCTCGGCCCTGCAGACAGGAGACAGACAGCAATGCTGCCCCTCCCACAGGAAGCACCGTGGGTATTCTATAAATGAACATTCTTTTCAATAGTAACACAATTGTTTAAGACTAGGAAGTCTAATCATAATACCCTGGACCACCTGACAAGTACAATAAGGTTTAAAGTCATTTAATAATAATAGCAGTCATGTTTTAATGTAGGAGATGTATTGCTGGTGCCTTTAAAAAATAAATGAAAATTCGTAAAGCCAAGATATTTAAGAATCATTCAATTCAGCATCCTTAAGAAAATGTCTCTGTCTAGCATTGCAACATTTAAAGGCATCACCACCTGAGGATTTTCATTGGAAAAGTATAGGGGGGAATAAAAGATTTCAGTCAGTTCCATAAATTACTATCAATTTCTATCATTTTTATTATTTGGCTTATCAATCTTTATTGAATTTTAGCTAATGTGCTAAATACTAGGGTGTAATGTCAATCTTTGTATATTTCTTATTGACTGTCTTTAAATGTATGTTTTTATATAATTTTAATGTGTTTATTATTTTTATTTTGTTACAGGCAGTTAATTCTGGTCGGTTTCAAGCTTATGACTGGGGAAACTCAGATCAGAACATGAAGCACTTCCACCAGGTACAGCCACAGCAGTGGTCCTCAGTTGTATACTGTGAATGAACTAATAGATATAGCATCCACTCATTAAGCACTTACTAGGTCCCATTCAAACCATTCCAGATATTTCATACAGATCACATGATATTTATTGGGTTCTTACCATGTGCCACATCATTATTTTTGACCCTCACAATGACATTGCAAGGTAAATATTGTTGTCTCCATTTTTCCAGAGGCTCAAGGGATTAGGTAAAAATTGTCATAATTATTTAGCTAGTAAAAAATCAGAATGACTCAATGGTATCTGGATCTGAAGTCCATTCTTCTTCCACTACACTTATTCCGGCTCAAAAAATAGAAAATCTCTTAAGTACTTAAGACCATAAAGATACATAATTTTTGTTTCTGGAGCATATTCTCTGATTTCTTACCCATCTCATTAAATGAGCTAACACTGTCCTATTAGTTCTTTGGAAAGTTATTCACTACTCATTTTTAAAAAAAAACAATATAAGATCATCAAAGATACACTAGATAGAAATATCACCATTAGGAAGAAGCAATACTCTCTGACAGAGAATGGCATGTCAAGATATTTCTTGGCATTACCTATGAAAATTTTTGGAGCAAAAATTTCATGTTAAAGGGAAATATGTGTTGTTATTTTTTTCCAGTAAACAAAGAAATTTAACAGAGATTTTGGCTTCTTGCTGATAGACAGAGCTCGTATTAAACAAGTAGCCATCAAAGATACATAGGTTTTACAAATCAGGGATGTGGAAATTTGGACATTAAAAAAAACAAAAAAAAAAACAAGGGCCGGCCAAGTGGCTCGGTTGGTTAAGAGCTCGCTCAAGAGTTTGAGCTCTGAGCAACAGCGGTTCAATGCCCGGCCCGAGCTGAGCAGCCGCTGAGCTACCAACTGGTGGCAGGATGGCTCAGCTAAAAAAACAAAAAAAAAATGAATTTTCAGTGCCACCGTAATAACTACAATAGTGAAAATGCATAACTTCAACTGGTGTGAAAAATCTGATTTTTCTACCCAACTGCTACAGTTCCATGTTTGTGTGCCAATACACAAACATGCTATGTCAAAGTATTATTTACTCTTGTAATTAACCAATTGTCTTAGCAAGAGTATACAGCCGCTTTAGGAAAAGCTTTTTAAAAGCTTTTTGAAAGATGGCCTTACCTGCTTGGATGAGAGTTGAGTCACAGGTACTAGCTTTATCATTATGCTTGCAGGTTCTGTTTTTTAAAAATGATATTCCGATTCAACTATACACCTTTTGCTTAGAACTTTGGGCAAAAAAATGAAAAACCCAAACAAACTGAGGGTAAACTATATACATGTTTAAAAAGCAATAAACTTAGTCACAACTATAAGTAATAACATTATACTTTAGACAATGTAAATATCAATGTAATCATCAATCTTTTATTACTAGGAAAGTAAAAAAAGAAAAAATTCTTGGCTAAAAGACACCATGTACCACTTGGATCCTAATCTCAATCATTTTCGCTTTGCCATCTTCATGGCTCCTGGATGCATCCTTAGTAGGGTATTAAATCATTGCAGTAAAGGTATTCTGATTCAGAGGCTCCTCAGACCACGCCCATCCTCCCCCCTTGTAGCTTAAAGCTTGCTAATATTTGTTGCTGCCTCTGTGCTGTGTTGTCTTGTATTCTTTATTTCTATCCTTGCATTTAAATATTTATGTTTTGTATTATTCTTCTCAGAAAACTAGAGTCAGGAGAAGCATGTCCCTTCTTCCATCAGTTGCACTTTGCCCTTGGGACCCTGCAGCAGGCTTCCCTGAGTACATCTCCCCTTGCATGTCCAACGGGTCAGGGCTAGTCGGCAATCATTTCCTTCCTCATGTCTCAATTCTGCTTGCAGATGCCATTTCCATTCTCAGGCTCTTTTCAAGACAGGTAGTAGGATGGTGACTGGAGGTACCTAGCTCATATAGTTCTTATAACTGCAAACCCCAAGAAAAAGCCAATATTTTTCTTAATAGCTCTGGCAAAAAGTTCCAGAGAGAACATGGGCCCAGTTTTTAATCATCTCTCATACAGGCACTGTGGTCAGAGGAAGGACTAACTGGCCAGGCCGGTCACCCTGGACCACTCTTGAACGGAGGGATTGCATTTGTTGAATCAGCACAAGAAAGGTGTTACCAGAAAGAAGGGGGAAGGGAAAGCTTGCGAGGAGGTCAGCATCACAGACACAATTTCTCTACGGCAGGCTGGCTTTTTAACATCGTATTTTAGATGTCTGTTTTTATGTATGGGTTTCAGTGCTCCCTGAAGGGCCTGCTCAAATATCAATAATTTCTCTGAATCTTGATTTCTGCATTTGAGAAAGGGTATTTTTATTTCTCCTATCCAGTGCTTTGTTTGAAAAGAACACAGTCCCAGTCCGTGTGCTACTATCAAGACGACCCCCTCACAGAAATAAGAGCCCCTTTTCTCTAGGACGCTTTTCTATTTTCCCAAAAGTGCAAATCAGGAATATAATGGTTGTCTTTTAAAACTCACAATTCATATTACTACACTAAAGTGGCTTCAAGTGTTAATATTTCTAGCATTTTAATGTTTACATATCATTAAGTGTATCCTAATTGCACATTTTTAACATTTGAAGAACTTGCTTAACAATGGAGAGTTAATGTTACTTCTATAATGTGGTTTTCCATGAAAACTCTTTTTTCCCCTCTCTGTCCCTTTAATTTCATCTAGCTTACACCTCCCTTATACGACGTTACGAAGATGGAAGTTCCAACAGCAGTGTGGAGTGGTGGAGCGGACAGTGTGGCTGACCCAAAGGACCTTGAGAATTTACTCCCTAAAATTACCAGACTTATTTATTTCAAATGTATTCCACACTACAATCATGTGGACTTTTACCTTGGACAGGATGTACCCCAGGAAATATACCAAGACCTAATTAGACTGATGGGGGAATGTTCCTAAAATTAAATGCATCTTTCTTTCTCTAAGCAAGCAAGTTTTCATAAGAATAATGTGGCGCACATAGCCAATGATTTTCACCTCCTCCTGTCCATGCATTTGTGTAATCCTTACTCCTTGAGTCATGGGGGGGGGGGGGGGGGGACCTGAGTGAGACTTGCTTCTAGCCCACAGAATTGACAAAGGTGATGGGATGTCACACCCTTGATTAGATTATCTTTAGGGCAAAGGTGATGGGATGTCACTCCCTGATTTATATTGTATAAGAATCCATCTTAGCACGCTTAGTCATGCAGCTATAAGGAAATGAATTCTGCCTAAAACCTGAATGACCTTGGAAGCCCTTTTCCCCCCAATAAAGCCTCCAATTGAGAAACAGCCTGGCCAGCACTTGGATTGCAGCCTGATGAGACCTTAAACAGAGAAGGACTTAGCTATGCTATGCCCTGACTACTGACCCACAGAAACAGTGAGCTAATAAACATATACGGTTCTCAACTGCTAAGCTTGTGGTAATTTGTTATCAGCAACAGTAAACTACTACTACTAGTAATAATAAAAAATCATTATTGTTGTTGTTGTTATTATTATTTTGTCTCTTTGGTTAGAAGTTTGAGAGGCCCTGTTCTTAGTTCACTTTGTCTTATTTCCTTGGCCTGATGAACTCCCTTGAACATTTCTTGTTTTGTAGATATGCTAGTGATGAATTCTCTCAGGGTTTGTCTGAGAAAAGTCTTTATTTTGCCTCCATTTCTTCATTTTCTAAATTGTTTATAGGTCATTTAGCATGAGCTCTACCCTCATAATGGATTTTTAAGTGCGCAGTACGGCACTGTTAACTATAGGCTGTACAGAAGGCCTCTAGAACATTTTCTTCTTGCACAACTGAAACATTATACACGTTGAACGACTCCCCGTTTCCCTGTCCCCCAGCCGCTGGCAGCCACCATTCTGCTCTCTGCTTCTATGAGTTTGGCTGCTTCGATACTTCATATAAATGGAATCATACAATATTTGTCCTCCTGTGACAGGCTTATTTCACTTAGCATAATGTCCTTAGGTTCACCTGCATTGTTGCATATGGCAGGATGTCTTTCTTTTTTATGGAATAGTATTTCAGTGTGTGTGTGTGTGTGTGTGTGTGTGTGTGTGTGTGTGTGTGTACACAGAGGGTGCCCCAAAAAATGTATACACATTTTAAGAAAGGAAAAAAACTATCAAAATTATGCTGATGGTAACTACTTTGAGCACCTCTTGTAATTGCAGAAGTCAAACATGACTTATATTCATCTTTTGTTATCAGTATATATTATTACAATTTTAATACAGTTCTTTCCTTTCTTAAAATATGTATAGATTTTTTGGCACCCTCTATACACATATATATCATATACATATATATATATATATATACACACATATATAAATATGAGAAATATATATATATATACACACACACACACACACACACGCACGCACGTACACACATATGTCTCACATTTGCCTTATCCCTTTGTCCATCAATGAACATTAGGTTGCTTCCACAACTAATGTTGAAATGAACCAGGAGTACATATGTCTTTTTAAGGTCTTGATTTCAATTCTTTTGGATATATATCCACACATGAGATTGCTGTATCATATGGTAGCTCTATTATTTGAGAAACCTCCATGCTGTTTTCCATAGCAGCTGCACCCTTTGTATTTCCACCAACAGTGTATAAAGTTTCCAATTTGTCCACATCCTTGCCAACACTTGTCTTTTGTGTTTTTTTGTTTGTTTGTTTTTTAATTTTTTTTTTAATTGGGGAATTGGGGGATGGGAACAGTGCTGGGGAATTGGGGGAAGGGGAACAGACAAGTTTCTGTTCTTTTGTACTTCAGTCTAGTTGTGGAGGAGTTGCTTCACTGGCCCAAGTTGGCACCATTAGTGCGCTCTTCCCAGGTGAGGCAGATCAGTCGCCGGCTTCTGGACGGCCGCTCACTGCGGCTGCTGGCCGCTCACGCTGGCTGCTGGCTACATACGG